AAGCAGGGACCAACCTGCGCTGGAAACGGGCTCTCCCCAGCCCCACACCCCCTGAATCCTTCACGGATATTTATGTTTCACTTCCAGCATGCAAATGATTCCTCAGGCCGCGGCTCACTGATGTTTAATGCAATAGACCTGCGAGATCTGATGGGGATAAGACAGAAAAGGCGCTTCCACATACATATTTCAGTGACTTTCATTTCAGCTGGTGAAAGTTCCGTATTTAATTGGCTTTTGCCGTCTTCGTGGCCGTTACCGCTTACAAAACACCGATCACCAACTCAAAACGATGCCGCAGAGATAAATGCACATTATCAGTTCTCCGCTGGCTTTCCAGGTGTCTGCCTACAAATTAGTTTTTGAAATACAAGCTGCTGTCAGCGGGGCATTCGAGAGCCCACGGCTCTCGCCCCCCTGCCCATGCTCTCCCCGGCTTTAATGGCACCAGCGTGATGGGCTGCGACACCCCCCGGGCCGCAGAGGAAACGTAAGACGTGAAATCACCTTTACATCGGGCTCTTATTCAGGCACCATTTCCCGAGGCGCCCTGAACCCGAAGCAAGGGGAAAAGAAGGAGCACGGGGAAGTCCCGAGGGAGCCAAGGCAGAGGCCACAGAGCCGAAAGCAGCCCAGAGGCTGGGCCAGGGCGCTTTCCAGCCCTGCTCTGCAGAGGGGCACCCAGAGGACAGGGAAATGGTGATGCACGGTGTGCACAGGCACCGGGGAGAGCCCCGTTGTGCCCACAGGAGGATTTCTTTTTAGCCTCCACCTTCACAGGACGAGGCTTTTGCTGGTGGCATCTTCTTTTGAGCAGAGGAGCGGGGCAGAGCTGTCCCACGGCTGCCAAGAGCATCGCCCGCATCCTTCATCCTGGCGGCCGCCTCCCCACGCTTTCCACCCCCACACACAGAAGCTTAACGACTTTGAGCAAGTCGTTTCAATCCATCGAGGTGTTTAATAGATGAAAATGTCAAAATATGTGCTGATGAGGCGACAATTAATGGGAGGTTTAATGAAAGGTTAAAACAACCTTTCCCAGAGCGAGCGCGTACGTGCGGCCACGCTCCTCCGTGAGTCAGCGCCGTGCGAAACACTCGGGTTAAGGCTGAACACCCAGCTCTGCCTTTGTGGGCTGCAGCTGATCTGACCTTTCCTCCTCTCCCCCCGGCCGCTCGCAGGGCCATCACGTCACAACATCACTGCAACCAACAACCGCTCGGTCCCTGACGCAGCCGAGCCCGAAGGGCCCCTCTGGAAATCAAATCAGAGATGCGACGGGCAGCAGCCTCAGAGAGCCACGTCCCAGGCTGGTTTTTCTCCCTGGAGCAGAAAGCGTTGTGAAAAATTCATGACTGTTCAAACGTGCATCTTTCCAGCCTTCTGAGTTGTGCTGGTGGCAGGACCAGCACTCCCCTCTACTCTCCTTGACCCTCTGCAGCACTTGAACTCCATCAAATCGCTGCACAATGCGCTCGCGGCACACACAGACACCATCCTTACCCTCAGCTTCCTTTTCACCCTCTTGTCTGAAACGCACGGTGCAGAGAAAATCTTTTCCTCCTTTCTCTTACTAAAAATAACGCCTTTCAGTAGGAATCAAAGGTGCTCCAAGAGCGCCCAGCGCAAGCAGCAGAAGTGACAGTGGAAGGAGGTCTGCTGTGATTTCAGAAAGAAGCATCGCGCAGGCGAGACACAGATTAATCGACGCAGCTAAATGGCTCCCAGTTCTCACACCCTGCCAAAGCTCAGTGGGTACCCAACACATATTAAAGTCAACAGTTGTAAACCAGTCTCAATTTCAATAGACCAACAAAAAAAAACCATCGTTCAAAATGAATGTTACCAACCTTTAATGGATCTCTGAGCGTATTCATATAAATAATCACTTTTCTTTATAATTGAGATGCAATATCACATTTGTTGCCCCAGCCTTCTCTCAGGAGGCGGAGTGCATGGGAGCGCCTGTCCCAGGAGAATGAATTCAATCAATTTTTGCTAATGACAAAGTAACCAGCCTGGAAATCAGCCCCTCCCGGGGAACAGCAATCTGACAGCACAGTGCGCAGCACGGCTGCAGGCATCCACAAACCCGCTCTCCACACCCTCCTCTTCCACAGGGCAAACTCTTCACATCCTCAAATTCACCATCAGCCGAGGACCAGCTCCACCACAGAAAACACCAGCTCTGATCCGGGTCTGGCAGACGAGCTTTGGCTGAACCTCGCTGACTTGGTTTAAGGTTTAAAAAACTGCAGCCTCCAGCATCCCACCTCACCCCCCGCCCCGGCAGACCACGTTGAACCTGGACTCAACCACGGCAGGGTGCTCACCTGGGAGATGCCAACCCCCCCCCCCGCCCCAGCTGTGCTACAGGCACAAACCTCGCTGTGAAACCCCCTCCTCCCCCGTAGGAAAATATCCTTTTGTTTTGGACACGTCTCCACCTGCTGAGCACCACGCAGCACGTCGCACCCCCCCATCGCACCCCCCCCAGCCCTTGAAGCCAGGAGCTGGCTTTGGCTGGGGCAGACAGGCCAGCCAAGGAGCGATGGACGGGACTAAATCACTGTCCACAGCTGGAGGTGGCCACAGGGTGACAACACTTGGGTCCCCACCACCTTCCTCCACCTGTGGCCGGTGGTTTGGGGTGACAGCAGCTCGGGGGATTCAGCTCCCGTCTGCAGTGTGAGCTGCCTGCACGAAAACACCCATCAGCCAACAACCAGAACCAAAACCTGCCGTCGGCTCCGCTCCCCCAGACAGTCATAAAGCAGGAGACACATAAAAGGACATTAAAAGCGGTTAAAGCTGTGAGAAGCCATAAAGAGAAGCAAGTGTCCGGGCAGCTCCCATATCTACGTGGGCAGTTCTCACTCCCGGGGCTGTCCCCAGCCGAATCCCACCGTGCGGAGGGCAGCAGGCAGGTCTCACGCTATCTGGCCCGAGGGCACTCGGCTGAGCCGTCCGCCTTCCCAGGCGAAGCTGCAAACGAGAGCGTTTCAAATCAATTTGACATTTACCATCCTTTGGTGCCGTCCTCCCTTCCGCCCCCACTTCCCCAGGATAAATCCAAGTGGCAGCAGTCCACGCTGCCAGATCCTGCTCCTTCCTCGGGGATGGGGAGGTGACACAGAGCTGACAGGGGGACGGACAGGCAGGAGCTGCTGGGTCTAAATCGATCACCTTGACGTGAGGACACCCAGAGACATTGATGCCAGGCCGGGGACAGGGGGACACAAGCAGGGTGCCAGCGCTGTCAATCCTGCACCCTCCCCTCCACAACGGCCCCCGGCTGTACCTTCCCCAGGACATCATCTTGCCCCCAACTCCAGGCCTTGGCCAGAAGCCAACCTATGAGTTTTGGGGCTAAATCTCTCCCTCCTGGGCAAGAAGAGAAGGAGGGTCCCCAACCTCACCACCGCATGCCGAAGCACAGTGCCGGTGCCTCTTGCTGCCGTCTCCAAGCACAGTCCCAAGGGGGATGAACTTGGACGCTGTCACCCAGGGGTGCAGGGACCTCTCCCCCCACCCAGTGCAGCTTCCCAGGAGACTCACTTGTCCTTCCCGTAAATGTCACCATCTAAAAGTTTCTCCATTTGAAATCTTTTCCCTCCTGCCCGTAGCGATACCCCACCACCCCTCCCTCTGCAGCACCTCCACCACCAAGGGTGAATTAGTTCGGTATTTAGCTCACGTGTCTGTCCTGCTTCCTGCTTTGTTCCTTCTCATTAAAAACAAACAAACAAAAAAATCCAGCTTTTTAATGAGTTTCTGGCAATCGCAAGTGGAGAGGAAACCTCAGGTGGAGCAGTGTGAGATTTTGGGGGGAAAACAGGGGACCAGAGGTGCCCACTGTGGTGCTGCTGCCGTGTCCCGTTTGCTCCCTCCCAGACAGTTCTGCTTAACGGTGACACCCGAGGCAGAAACGTCGCAGAAGTCGAACCAGGGAGCAAACACGGAGTGATAGGACTGAATATGGAAAAGCAAGACGTTTTCTTGTAGGAAGGAAAGGGCCGGAGCAAAGCGGACGGCTCCGGCTCTGCGTGCGGCTCCTGGGGATGGGGCCACCGCGCTCTGCCCACCGCTCCGGCCCCAGAGCATCGCAGAGGAAAAGGAAAATTCAGGTTTCCTTGGCAACGCTGGGGTGGCTGGAAGCATCACCTCGTGTTTGCGGGCAGCCAGACCCGGCATCGGCCCCCAGGAGCAAGCGGCACCGGAGGAGGGAGCGCGGGTGGGGGTGTTCCTCGGGGTGAGGAGGGACGAGGCATCGCGGTCCCCGCAGCGAGCAGGACCCCAGCCTGTCTCTTATACACAT